AAAAAAAACCAAAAGTCAGCAGAAGGAAGGACATAATAAAGATCAGGGAGGAAATAAATGAAATAGAGATTGAAAAAATAGAAAAAATCAATCATCAAGAGCTGGGTTTTTGAAAGAGTAAATAAAATCAACAAACCTCTGGCCAAGCTCACAAAGAAGAGAAAAGAGAGAGCACAAATAAGCAAAATAAGAAAGGAAAATGGAGAAATTACAACCAATAACACAGAAATACACAATATTATACAAGACTATTATGAACAACTATATGGAAATAAAATGGATAACCTAGAGGAGATGGACAAGTTTCTGGAAATATACAGTCCACCAAGACTGAATCAAGAAGAAACTGACCACTTGAACAAACCGATCACCAGAAATGAAATCAAATTAGCAATAAAAAATACCTCCCTACATATGAAAGTCCAGAAGCGGATGGCTTCACTAGGGATTTCGACCAAACATACAAAGAAGAATTCATACCAGTCCTTCTTAAACTCTTCCAAAAGATTGAAAAGGAGGGAATACTCTCAAACTCATTCTATGAAGCCACCATCACCCTGATATCAAAACCAGGCAAAGACACTACCAAAAAAGAGAATTACAGACCAATATCACTGATGAACACAGATGCAAAAATCCTTACCAAAATATTAGCAAATAGAATCCAAAAGCACATAAAAAAGATTATACACCACAATCAAGTGGGGTTCATCCCAGGGACATAAGGATGGCTCAACATACACAAATCAATCAATGTAATACATCACCTCAACAAAAGAAAGGACAAAACCACATGATCATCTCAACAGATGTAGAAAAGCATTTGATAAAATCCAACACCCATTTATGATAAAAACTCTCACCAAAGTGGGTATAGAGGGAACATGTCTCAACATAATAAAAGCTATATATGACAAACCTACAGCCAGCATAGTATTCAATGGTGAAAAGCTCAAAAGCTTCCCACTAACCTCTGGGACAAGACAAGGCTGCCCACTGTCACTACTCCTATTCAACATAGTCTTGGAAGTCCTAGCCACAGCAATCAGGCAAGAGAGAGAAATAAAAGGGGTCCAAATTGGAAAAGAAGAAGTAAAATTGTCACTATATTCAGATGACATGATACTATACATAGAAAACCCTAAAAGGTCCACACAAAAACTACTAGAACTAATCGAAGAATTCAGCAAGGTAGCAGGTTACAAGATTAATGTACAAAAATCAGTTGCATTTCTTTACACTAATGATGAATCAACAGAAAAAGAAAGTAAAGAAACAATCCCCTTTAAAATAGCACCTAAAGTAATAAAATACCTAGGAATAAATCTAACCAAGGAGGTGAAAGACTTATACATGGAAAACTATAAAACACTGATTAAGGAAATTAAAGAAGACTTAAAAAAATCGAAAGATATCCCATGCTCCTGGATTGGAAGAATCAATGTTGTTAAAATGGTCATACTGCCCAAGGCAATCTACAGATTTAATGCAATCCCTATCAATTACCCAGGACATATTTCACTGAACTAGAACAAATCATAATAAGATTTATATGGAATCACAAAAGACCTAGAACTGCCAAAGCATTGCTGAAGAAAAAGAAAGAGAATGGAGGAATAATCCTCCCAGACTTCAATAAATACTACCGAGCTACAGTAATCAAAAAAGCATGGTATTGGTACAAAAAGAGACATATGGACCAATGGAACAGAATAGAGACCCCAGAAACAAACCCACAAACTTTTGGTCAACTAATCTTCGACAAAGGAGGCAAGAACATACAATGGAATGAAGACAGTCTCTTCAGCAAATGGTGTTGGGAAAACTGGACAGCAGCATGTAAGTCAATGAAGCCAGAACACTTCCTTACACCATACACAAAAATAAACTCAAAATGGATCAAAGACTTATACATAAGACAAGATACAATAAACCTCCTAGAAGAAAATATAGGCAAAACATTATCTGACATACATCTCAAAAATGTTCTCCTAGGGCAGTCTACCCAAGCAATAGAAATGAAAGCAAGAATAAACAAATGGGACCTAATGAAACTTACAAGCTTCTGTACAGCAAAGGAAATCCATAAGTAAAACAAAGCGACAACCTATGGAATGGGAGAAAATTTTTGCTGAAGATGAAACTGACAAAGACTTGATTTCCAGAATATATAAGCATCTCATATGACTTAATAAGAAAAAAAACAAACAACCCAATCCAATAATGGGCAGAAGACCTAAACAAGCAATTCTCCAAGGAAGCCATATGAATGATCAATAGGCACATGAAAAAATGCTCAGTATCACTAATTATCAGAGAAATGCAAATCAAAACTACAATGAGGTATCACCTCACACCAGTCAGAATGGCCATCATTCAAAAGTCCAAAATGACAAATGCTGGAGAGGCTGTGGAGAAAAGGGAACCCTCCGACACTGCTGGTGGGAATTCAGTTTGGTGCAGCCACTGTGGAAAACAGTATGGAGATTCCTCAAAAGACTAGGAATAGACTTACCATATGACCCAGGAATCCTGCTCCTGGGCATATATTCAGAAGGAACCCTACTTAAAATGACACCTGCACCCCAATGTTCATAGCAGCACTATTTACAATAGCCAAGACATGGAAACAGCCTAAATCTCCATCAATAGATGACTGGATAAAGATGTGGTTTATTTATACAATGGAATACTTTCAGCCATAAAAATGACAACATAATGCCATTTGCAGCAACATGGATATCCCTGGAGAATGTCTTTCTAAGTGAAGTAAGCCAGAAAAAGAAAGAAAAATATCATATGAGATCACTCATATGTGGAATCTTAAAAAAAAAAAAGAATAACAAATACAAAACAGAAATAGACTCATAGATATAGAATACAAACTTGTGGTTGCCGGGGGGAGGGGGTGGGAAGGGACAGACTAGGAGTTCTAAATTTGTAGATACTGACAGGTGTATATATAGAATAGATAAACCAGATTATACTGTGTAGCACAGGGAAATATATACAAGATCTTGTGGTAGCTCATTGTGAAAAAGTATGCGACAATGAATATGTGTATGTTCATGTATAAGTGAAAAATTGTGTTCTACACTGGAAAGTGACACAGCATTGTAAACTGACTATAACTCAATAAGAAATTCCAAAAAAAAAGATAAATAGGAGTTTTCTAGCTGTACAAGGTGAAGAAAAGCATTCCAGGTAAAAAGAATTTCATATACAGAGAAATGGAGGCTTCAGAGAGCATGTCTTGCTCAGGAAACTCTTGATATACCTGTGTGGCTGGAGGAGGAAGAGAGAGAGAAAATAAAGGAAGGGAGAAGACTAAAGAGTTAGAAAGAGACCAGGTCATTAAAAAAAATCTGAATATTATTCTGAAACAAGCGGTAGTCACTAAAGGATTTAAATCGTGTAGTAACCTGGTATTCACATATTTCAAAGGCCATTTTTATAACAATGTGGAAGATAAATTGAGGAAGGACAGGAGACCACCCTAGTGGATAAAGAGGAGATGAGGCTTGAATTCGAGCAGTAAAAATAGGGACGGAGAGGAGACAGTAGAATCAACAGACATTTAGGAGACAAAATCAGTGTGATATTTGATGCCTAATTAAAAGTAACAGAAGTAGCTCGGTTGATTAGATTTATTATAGCTCAATTCACCAAGACAGGGAATACCAGAGAAGATACAGGCTTAAGGAATGTGAGAACGCTTCAGAGATAAATTAGGTTATATGTTGGATATGTACATTTTGAGGTGTCTAGGGGACCATCAAATGGAGCTGTCCATTACATTGTTTGATGTAAGAGTCAGAACATGAAAGGTCTTATAAACTGAAGCTTTAGGATTCATTAGGACACAAGAGGTAGTAAAAACCACTGGGGTAGATGATATTTCTTAGGGAGAATAAATAAGACACAGAAGAGTTGGCTATAGAATTCAGGAGAACCCAACAATCATGGTGGGTAAAAAACTAGGAGCCAGCGAAAAAGGCTGAGAAGGATCCCAGAGAGGAAGGCATGGAACTGGATGTGAATGAAGATTGTGGAAATCACGGGAAGATGGGGCTTCAAGAAGGAAGCACTCAACAGACTTAGGTGCCACAGAGACTTCATCTAAATGTCTATTGTATTTGGCAATTAGAGTGTTATGGGGGCCCTTGTCAGAGAAGTTTCAGCAAAGTGTTAAGAGGTATACACCTAACTGCAATGAAGTGAAGGGTAAATGGTACCTGGGAAATGAACAGATAATTCACAAGTAAAGAAATACATCAATCACATGATTTCCACTTCATTAGTGATGAAAATGCAAATTAAGATCCCTATCAAATTGGGAAATGATAATGCCCATTGTTGATCAGGTAACAGTAAAATGGACTCTCATATCTCTGGCAGAGCATAAATCAGCATACAGCCTCTCTAGAAGGTGAACTGACACTATAAAGACTTTAAAAATTTTCTAGTCTTTAAGAACAAGGAAATAACAGAATTAATCACAGATATTTATGTTCAAGAATATTTATTCCAGCTTTATTTATAACAGTATAGCTGTAGAAACTAATGACACATCCAATAATAAGTGATTGGTCAAATTAATTATGGTATATCCACACATAGGTAGAATGTGACCAAAACACTGATGTGGGCAGATTACTCAGACACCTTAGCTATAGGGCTTAACCCAAGTCTTATTGAATTTCTATCTCAATGAAAATATATTTTACACTACTTAAAGCAAATAGAAGCATGACTTATGCTGACTAGTTTGTATACTTGGTTTCTTGTATTTTCGACAGTGCTGATAGATTTCTAAGAGCTAAAAATATTTTACTTCCTTTCTGGGAAGGTGGCACAGGGGGCATATGGCTTATATATAAGTGATCACATGTCCTGGTTGCTCTGTGACATCCCTTGTGTCCCAGTGTAATTATTAATATCCCCCTTTTCACTCTCAGAAGTGTCCTGGTTTATACGATAAATTATATGGTAATCTTACTTACGTATCCAAACTAGGGAATACCATGCAGTTATCAATACTCTTGTTTTAAAGAAAAAAAATTCATGTTTTAGACTATTTGATGATGTGAGAAGGTACCTATGCTATATTATTAAGTAGAAAAAAGATTACAAAGCAGTAAATATATTATTTATAATTTTATACATTAGAATTGCTTTCATGTATGTATGAAAAAAGGCTGGTGGAAAATGCATTCAAATGTTAATGGTAGTTTTCATTGAAGGGTAGGATTATCTATACTTTTATGTTTTCTTTATATTTTGTATCATCTTAATTTTCTATAAAGAACAAATATTTTCTTTACAGTTAAAAAAATAGCAATGAGGAACAGGAGACAAAGAACGCAGACAACTCTTTTGGTTAAAGGTCGCAACCAGGAAGGTGGTTGTTGTTGTAGAGCTGAATGAGAAGGAAAGCTTAAAAGTGTAAATCATATATGTCCATGAATGACTGAAAAATTGTGCTGAACACTGGAATTTGACACAACATTGTAAAATGATTATAAATCAATAAAAAAATGTTAAAAAAAGTGTAAATCAAAGAGAAAGAAAATATTGAGTGTAAGGTATTGGGAGAAAAGGAGAGGGATAGAATCAAGAATACACACAAAGGAATTAGACAAGGACAGCAGAATGCATGCCTCTTTCAAAGACCAGAGGAAAGGAGGGTAGGGTGACTAAAGAGTTTTTAGAGGTAGCGGGGAAAGGGGTCTATCAGAAGCTGTAGCAGCTCCTCCCAAATACAGAAGGGCCACAGAGCTTAGTAAGTACCAAGTAAATTCTTTAATTGAATTGAGTAGATTTTTCATATCCCATATCTTTTTAATTACAGATAACATCATACAATTACGAGCTTCTATACTAAATAACATGAACATTTTTATTCCATAGCTTCATGCTTCAGTTTTTGTGGGTTTTTTTTTTTTTTGTAGTTCAGATTGATCGTCAGTTTAAGAACAACTTTGAAGAGCAACTTTTTATTAGAGAAGACTGCCCTGATTGCCTGCTCACTGTCATCACAGAATCCCCAGGGTGCCTGGAAGACCAAGGAGTCAAGGTTAGCTGTATGCACAGGCCTAGTTTCAAGCCTTGATCCTCTTACCCGATAACAGGCAATTCCTAGTCCGAGCCAGGTAAGGCATGAAGGCGATCTCTTACAGGCTTGCATGTAGGTTTTCTTTGCTTTTTCGTACTGTAGAAAGAAAGCATCACTAAGCTATTGTTCTTCTGGAAGCTTCAAACACTGCATTTCTAAGATAATCATGGGGCTTCTGTAATTATACTCCAAATCAAAGTTAAATGAGTTCTTGGATTGTATATATACATATTTTTAAGACAACTTTTTTAGAGAAGTCTCATGTTCACCTCAAAATTGAGAGGAAAGTACAGAGATTTCCCATTTACCTCCTGTCCCTACACATGCATAGCCTCTCCCATTATCAACATCCCCCACCAGAGTGGTACCTTTGTTACAACTGATGAATCTACGTGGATGTATCGTCATCACCTAAAGTCCACAGTTTACCTTAGGGTTCACTCTTGGTGGTGTACATTCTCTGGGTTTGGATAATTGTATGACATGTTTCCATTATTAGAATATTTCCACTGCCCTAAAAATTCTCTGTGATTCATCTATTCATCACTCTCCTTCCTCCAACCCCTGGAAACCACTGATCTCTTTACTGATTTCATGGTTTTGCTTTTTCCAGAATGTCATATAGTTGGAATCATGCAGTAATATAGAACTTTCCCAAATTTGTTTCTTTCACTTAATGGTATGAATGTAAGGTTCCCCTAGGTCTTTTCATAGCTTGATAGCTTATCTCTTTTTAGCACTGAGTAATACTCTATTATCTGGATGTACCACAGGCTATTTATCCATTCACCTGCTGAAGGACATCTTGGTTGCTTCTAAGTTTTGGCCATTATGAATAAAGCTACTAAAAACATCCACGCACAGGTTTTTGTATGGGCATAAGTTTTCAACTCCATTAGGTAAACACAAAGAGCACAACTGCTGTGTCACATGGTAAGAATATTTTTGGTTTTGTAAAGAGTTGCCAAACTATCTTCTAAAGTGGCTGTATCATTTTGCACTCCCACCAGCAATGAATGAGAGTTCCTGTTGCTCCACATCCTTACCAGTATCCGGTGTTGTCAGTGTTTCAGATTTTGGTCAGATTTTAGTGTGTAGTGATATTTCATTATGTTACTGACCAGGGTTCTTGAACTCCTTAATCAATAAAAATTAAGAGGCCAGACGAGAAATTCAGATAAGGCTTTATTGGGACTTATGATGCAGAAGGAGGGAGTGAAAACAAGTAACAGGTTCCCTTGCTCATTCCCTGAATGGGGGTGAGCTGGTCCCTTAAATGGGGTAAGGGTAGGGATGGACTCATGGATCAGGCCAGGGGGGTGACTTAGCTACTCAGCCCACCCCCTTGGTGGTGCTGTGTGCAGAGATTATGTGCAGGGATCTACTTTTGCTCCTAACACCTCAGAAGTGGCCAATGGGTTTTTGGTTTTTTTGTGTCTTGTTGTTCATATTTTGCCCCAACTGCAAATTTTTTATTATTTTTAATAATAGTTATTAAAAATAATTTTTAGTCTCTTACAGTTTCTTTATATTCTGTTGTTTGAGGAGACATTTGTCCAGGTGTAAGCATTGCAGCAAAGGGCTCTAGGTCCCAGCCTGTCTCAATCATTGTTTTAATGTGCATTTCCCTAATGACATATGATGTGGAGCATCTTTTCATGTGCTTATTTGACATCTCTATTTCTTCTTTGGTAAGCTGTCTGTTAAGGTTTTTGGCCCATTTCTTAACTGAGTTGTTTGTTTTCTTATTGTTCAGCTTTAAGTGTTCTTTGTATATTTTGGATAGCAGTCCTTTATCAGATGTATCTTTTGTAAATATTTTTCCCAGTCCATAGCTTATCTTCTCATTCTTTTGACATTCTCTTTTGCAGAGCATAAGTTTTTAATTTCAGTCAAGTCCAATTTATTAAGTCTGTCTTTCATGGATCATACCTTTGCGGTTGTACCTAAAAAGTCATCACCATACCCAATGTCATACAGATTTTCTTCTATGTTATCTTCTAGGAGTTTTATAGTTTTTGCATTTTACATTTAGGACTATGATCCATTTGGAGTTAATTTTTGTGAAGGGTATAAGGTCTGTGTCTAGATATGTATTTTTTGCATGTGAATGTCCAATTGTTTCACCACCATTTGTTGAAGATTATCTTCTTTGTTCCACTGTGTTGCCTCTGCTCCTTTGTCAAAGATTAGTTGACTATATTTATGTGGTCTAATTCTGGACTGTCTATTCTGTTCTACTGAACAATTTGTCTATTATTTCACCAATACCACACTGTCTTGCTTGCTGTAGCTTTATAGTAAGTCTTGAAGTCAGGTAGGGTCAATTCTCTACTTTTATTCTTCTCTTTCAATGTTATGTTGGCTATTCTGGACTTGGATTATATTTTTATGTCTACTTTAAGGAAGCTATCACAAGAAAACTAGTGAGAAAATAGGGATAAACCAAATTAAAGGGCAGACTGATGTAGAAGTCCCACAGACATTTACAGCCTCTGCATAAGTTGAAGCAAGGTGTTACACTGGAAGTTCTAGGTAACCACGATGATTATCTGAATTCCACCTTGACTTTATGGATTATCCCCTTTCACTTAAAAGCAACACCATGTAGTGGGATGACAGATACATAGTCTGTGAACTTAGGCGTATACTCGATAAAAGCCTCATTATACTGAGAGTTTGTTACCTTGTTGTAAAAGGTCTAAAGCTCTCTACAGTAGTACAGGAGGCATTTAGAAAAACAAAAACCAAACTTCCCAAGGAAACTGCCCACAAAAGACTCCCTGTCTTGTAACTCAAGTGTTAGAGATTGAGCTATAGCTGAGCCTCAGCTAACAGCTTAAGAATTGCCTGCCTAGAACTGAGTAAGTCAGTAGCTCTGAGAAGATGCAGCTGGCAACAACTTCGGAAAGAAAACTTTTTCTTATTTATTTCACCACAATGGGACAGTGGTTTTTCTCTCTCAAGCCTATGTGAGCTTTCCTCCTTAAACTATAAGGCATTGTAACTTCTCATTGCTGTTGTTGTTTTATTTTAAATAAAATAAATTGTGTGTTCTAGAAAGAGAAATGAAGTCAAAACAAAAGCATGGAGTCAAAAAGCCTTTGGCAGAATGTTGATAATGTTGAAGTGGGATGATGGGTCCATGTTGGTTCATTCTCTGATTCTGTCTACTAGGTATGCATTTGAAATTTTCCATAAGAGAAAGTTTCCTTTAGAAGGCCTTGCAGGTATTTCCTAACATATAGACAGGACTTGTGGAGAGGAAGTGCTAAAAGGTCATGCCACAGTGCCCAGTGGAATGGAGTTAGCCTCAGGTGAATTACATATAACGCTTTGTGTTGAACAGGAAGTTTGGAGAAGTTCTTTTGAAGCCCATGACACTTTCTGTTACTTAACTCAAGCTATGAATGTTTCTACTACTGCTAATAAAAGAAAGTTAGCTAAAATAATATCTAAAATAATACTTACTGAGTTCTTAACTTTTTTAGTATCATAATGGTTAAAATTACAGACTCTAATTCTAGACTGCCTGGGTTTGAATCCTACTTCTATTAATTACTGGTTATCTGATGTTGGGCAAGTCACTTTATCTTTGGATGTAAAAATGTCATTATCATATTGCTATTTTTAGTCCATAAAGATGGATGTCAATGCTTGAACTCTAATCAGGTCCCAGACCACGACCTGATTTACACAGTTACTCCCCACCATCTATCCCTCACCTCTTTCTCTTCCAGGTATATGTGCCCCAGTCGCAGGAAGATGAAGTGCATCTCAGAAGCATCCACGACAAAACTAATGGTTCGCTCATAGCATGCCTTGGCTTCAGCATGATTTCCACTCAGAAAATAGAGATGACCCTTCAAGCCCCAGACGTTGGGGTTCTGAGAAAGTGAAGAACAAGTAATACATGGGATGAAGTGGTATTTAAAAGTACATTAATGATCTTTGTTTAACATTTAAACTTAGATTAAGTCCATGTTCTTTTGCAAATTACAAAGAGGGCCATCAGTTGCACTGGGAGGTATTGTTCTAGGACTGCCCTCTCATTTCTTTCTTACATTCTTCAAAGCAATTTTGTCTTTAGGGTAAATATTAAGAAAACTATTCAAGCATAACCATGATAGTATTCACAATAAGAAAGTAGAAGTTCAGGAAACTTGAAATAGATAACGGTTTGCTAAAGAGCTGTCCTTATCCTTTCTCTGCCCTTTGTAAAACTCATGATTGATTAAGAAAACCAAATGGAAGAAAACAGATAATTGAGTTTACTGACAGCTCATGGCCCCCACCTCTGGGAACCAGAAATCTACATGTGATATGGCATCACCACTGTTAAGAAAGCCTGCTTGCCCTTTCCTTAAGAGGCTCTAGCAAGAGTTATTACCAGGTAGTCCATCTGGGCTGCTTGTTGAAGGCACTCCTCTGCTTTAGCAAAGTCCTTCTTGAGAAGGTGTATCTGGGCCAGCACCAAGTAATACTCACAGCTTGGGCCTCCTTGAGGGCATAATAGCTCATGTGCAAGTACTCTGTGTACATACTGCAAGAAAAAACCAGTTTATAAAAAACATGTAAAAGACTGCATTGTATCAGTTTCATAGCTCTCATGGTTGAAGATTCTCTTATCTCTCTGATATAAATAATAAGGAACATATTATAGAATGAAATACTTGTCATTTTCAAAATGATACGGGTGAATTATAAACATTCACCACATCATGATTCCATTACCAGCTATTTACTTAGTCACATTTCCAAGTGAATTATCTGCAGTATTGTACAACTTTGGTCTTCCTGATCATACTGGATGCATTTGAGCCTATTGTGTAGCAGACAAAAGCATTTCATCAACCACTCCGTGTACATATGAAGTAGTATTTTGAGGCAGCTGTCACTGTAAGGAAACTTAGAGTGAGGCAAAACCTCCCTTTCTAAAATTCTAGACTCAGGATCCTAGCAATATAAATGCCTATTTCCGACACACTTTCAAATATTTGTTATGTTCATTAGTTTTATACTTTTGGCTGTTCTTTGTTTTTAATACTATATAAGGCCTGCAAATTTCACGAAGTCATATATACTTGCTAAGTAGAGTGGGAAGCCCTTCTTTTCTTCTCCCTCTGTTCTCATCTCAGCCTATAATATAGAAATTTCCACTAACATGTATACCTGCTTAGGAAAATACCAGGGGATGGGGGACTTTGCAGCTGTTCCCTCTACCAGCATTCTGGCTCTTGGACATGGGGAAACGTGATTTATTTAATCAGGGAGACAGAGAACCTATTTCTCTATTGTGAAAGGTTAGTATGTTAAAGGCTCTTGTTTAATGTGGTCCACCCCACCTAGTTCATAATTCTTGCTCTTTCTTGAGCTTGCCCACCCTCAAGTGGAGCATCATTCTACAGGTTGAAAGTCAATTCTCTTGGCTCCTGGATTTTGCTCTCTCTCCCACTGCTTACTTCATGGGTATGTTTCTTATTTCCTATGTGGTAAGTAGACCTTGCAGGAAGCTCTTTTTCTCTGGAAGGGGACTGCAGTTCTCTAGCTGTTCCACCTGTGACTGCATGGATAAGTCAAATCTGGGACCAGTCACATCTCCAGCCCAGCTTTACCAATAAAAAATTAATATTTTTATCCCCCATATAGCACTGTGTATCTATTTCCAATTGGTTCAGAAACTGGAATGGAAGAAGGGTATGATTAGGCTCCTGTGAACCCCCAACACTCACATAATATGAGTTCCCATAATAAGGTGGCATTAGGCTACATGTGAGTCTGATTTTGCTCTGCTGGTATTCTATAGGGAGCAGACTTGCAGTGAGGTCTCCTGATGCTCTCTGCAGAGAGCGGTTCATATTTTTGGATGTTTATCCCACTGGGCCTATAGTGTGCTGTCAAAAGCATATTTAATTTCTGTATCATATACATTTAAGTTTGCAAAGACACCACTAAGACATTATAAGTAGTTCATTAAAATCTTTCCACCTACTTGACCTTTTCTAAATATTCTGACCTGCACAGCATTGACCTTCATCAAGAAGTGTATGGTCTCCATGAAGATGGTGGTAGGAGTCTGGGAAACACTATAAGGAGTGGGATGCAGACAAGTCAATGACTCTTGACATTTTGATGCTTCTGAAAATATTATATTAAAATAATAGGCAATTAGATGTAGAGGAAAAATGTCAGAAGCTCAGACACATAGCAGGGAGAGTATTCTACTCTAACATACAAGAAAAATTATAATCTTGAAATCAGTAGATTACTCTATAGCAATGGCCCCTAAAGAGGAGATCTCAAGGTTCTCAAGATTAGTCTACTGGTGGTTCCAAATGCAAGCAGAATGAAATGAAAGCTTTTTTTTTTTAAGTATTCATGTCTTCCTGAATGTGAAACAGATCTGCAAATACTCTAAATCTGTGGATATTTTAAAAATGAAAATTCATTCTTAGGAAATCACAGGTCTTTAGTTGGCTCCTTCTCTGAGCTAAATATAAATCCTTACTATTTAAAGAGTTACATTATTAAGATTGGATTTCAGAGCCTAGCCTCATATGAAGGAACTTAAACAATATTATAAACGAATCAACTTCAAACAAGTTAAGATTGCCATTTTGCTTATCATAAGAGTTTTCATCACTGTCTAGTTAGTTTATACCCTTCTTTCAAGTGGAAATCTTAATTCTAATTACCTTTTTTTGTTGGTATCCCCTTGAAAAATGTGTTGGATGGTTTTTGGCTGGTATTTGGATCCTGAGATTGTACAGGCAAAATGGGTTCATGTGAATCAGATTGCAGGTTAGAGGATTCATCAAGAAATTCATCCAGAATGGATAATGGAGCTCCCAGCCCTAAAAAGATTAAATTTTAATGAAAAAAACCCCTTCTTACATTGTATATTAAAAGGTTATTACAGGAGATAAAATACAATTGATTTCCATAGCACAGGAAACACATTCCCTAAATATTTCATGAAAAAACTTGTTTTTCAGACTTCTAATATTTCTGAATAATTTAAAGAGTGTAAGCTAAACTAACAGCACAGGTTCTGTTACTATGACTCCCAGTCCAACCCTGCTGCTAGCTCAAGTCATGATAATGTCAAACAAATACCTATTACAAAAGCTATTTGTAAACCCACAAAGAATCCAGAGGAAAAGATTAACATATTTTTAGATAATATTAAAACTCCTGAATGACAGGAATTCTATTTTATCTTATTGTTCAAAATCATTATCATCATCATCATCACTATCATCATATAAGTAGCTATATTTGAACATGACTATATGCCAGGTATTATACTAAGGATTGTAATGTATAATCTTATTTATTTTCACAATATTATGAGATTTATTTATTATGCTCCATTAAACAAAGTGAATCACAGAAAAGTTAAATAATTTGTGGAAGCTCTTAAACATGCCAGTCTGTCTCTCAAATAACAAATGTTTTAGGAATAAAAATAAAAAGCAATGCCAATTAGGAAATGATCAGTACTAGCTGGCTGTGAATCAGAAGAGGTCATTCTCTGCTACAGAAAAGATACCGTTTTGAAAACACCAGAAGTTGACACAACATTGTAAACTGACTATACTTCAATAAAAATATATTTTAGAAAATACAAAAACAAAGACAGTGTGGTACTGCCAAAAGAACAGACAAATAGATCAGTATAACAGAACAGAGAACACAGAAACAGACCCACATGAATGTAAACTGATCTTTGACAAAAAACAAAGGTAATAAAATGGAGCAAAGATAGACTTTTCAACAAATAGCAGTGGAACAACTGGACAGCTACATGAAAAAAAATAAAAATAATCTAAACACAGACCTCATAACTTCACAAACACTAACTCAAAATGGATCACAGAACTAAGTGTAAACTGCAAAAACTATAAAACTCCTAGAAGATAACATAAGAGAAAACCTAGATGACATTGAGTATGGCTTTTTAGATAGAACACCAAAGGCACGATCCTTGAAAGAAAAAATTGACACACTGGACTTCATTGGGATTAAAAATTTATACTCTGCAAGCAAAGGACAATGTGAAGAGAAGGAGAAGACAAGCCACAGAACTGGGAGAAAATATTTGCAAGAGACTTAATAAAAATATAGGCAATTTTATTAAAAAGTGGCCAAAGACCTTAATAAACATTTCACCAAAGAAGATATACAGATAGTATAAGCATATAAGATACAGCACCTCATATGTCACCAGGAATGTTGATAATGGGAAAGAAAGACTGCATGTGTGGAGATAAGAAGTATATATGAAACCTCTACACCTTTTTAATTTTGCTGTGAACCTAAAACTGCTCTAAAAAATTAAAGTCTGTTTTAAAATAACAGACTAATATGAAAAACATATTCTAATAAAAATTTTAAACCTAAATGAAATTGGTGAACTCCTAAAATGCATAAAATGCCATGAATAACACAATAAGAAATATAGAACACAAATATATTAAAGATTAATCAAATGAAATGACAGTCAAACACTTTCCCTGCCAAAAACCCCAAGGTCCTGGTTTTTTTTATGATTGAGTTCTGCCAAACGTTTAAGTCAAACTCAATTGCTATCATATGTAAGTTGATACAGAAGAGCAAAGGAACAAAAGGTGCTTAATAAATCTTGATTATAAAACTAAATGACAAAAGAAAAGTATAGTCTATTTCATTTATGAACAAAGACGCAAAGATCCAAAATATAGCATTAGCTACTGAAATCCACAGGTATATTAAAAATTAATACATTATGATCAAGTAAGATTTATCCCATTATTGCAAGGATTGATCAATATAAAAGAAATCAACAATGTTGTTCACTATATTAATAGGTAAAAGAAAATTTTTTCAACTGATGCAGAAAAATAATTTGATGAAGTTCAATACCTATTAATGAAAAAAATTCTTTGCAAATTAGGAATACAGGAGATCCTCCTTGATTCTGTAAAGGTTTTTTTAGAAAAAGCTTACAGCATATTTTATACTTAATAGACATTAAACTCATATCCCTTAAGATAAGAAAGAAGACAAGGTTGAATACCACAACTGATATATATCACATTATTGTAGATAATAAAAAGACATGAGTAGTATGAAGATTGGGAGGGAAAGTTAACACTTCATATTGGCAGGTATGATAACCATATTCTGAAAAACATATATAATTAATAATCTACTTGAATTAATAAGAGGCAAATAAGATTGTTATATACAGTTCAATCTAAAAAATAATAGTATCTACTTAAATCTAAAATGTAGAAAATCAAAATCATTCATTAAAAAATACCAGAAATAACCACCTAGAAAACATAATTAAAATAAGATACTATTATGATAGCAATGGAACCTATAAAATATCTATGGATTACTTAAACAGAGCCTCACTGGAAAAAAAGTTAAAACTTTAATAAAGAACCCAGAAGATGACCTGAGTAAATGGAAAGATCCTCCACATACTTGGATGGAATGGTTTAATAATATGTAGACATTAATTATCCCTATGTTAATCTATAAGTTCAATACAGTCTGAATAAAATCTCCAACTGGACTTTTAATGTACTTGATAAACTCACTACAAACTCCAGATAGGTGAATAAAGGTTCATGAATAGGTAAGTAAGGTATACAAAAGGCAAGTAAATGAGAGAACCTCATATTCCAGATATTAAAGCATACTACAACATCATAGCAATAGAGTGTGATATTGTTTAAAGACAAGACAAATAAGACAGAATAGAGAGTTCAGAGAATATATATTTTAAATCAAAGGAGAAAAATGGCTGGTTTAATATATAGTTTTGAGAAAACTAGATCTTTATATGGAGAAAAATAAAACTGGAAGCCTACCTACAATCACATGCAAAGATGGAATCCTAATAGATTAAAGATCTAAATGTAAAACTAATACTATAAAGTTAATTGAAGAAAATGTGACTTGAGGTAGGAAGAGCTATTTAAACAAAACTTTAAGGGCACAGAACTATAAAGGATGTGGAGAGTTCAATAACACAATCAACTAACTAAACCTAATTGATATTTATAGGACACTCCACTCAACAACAGAATATACATTTTTTTCAAGTGTGTTTAGAACATTTATCAAAATAGATCAAATGCTAGACCATAAAAGAAGTTCAAGGATTAAAATCATGCAAAAAGGATTCAAATCATGCAAGTCACATTTTATAACCACAATGAAATCAAATTAGAAATAAAAAACAAGGATATCTGGTAAATTCCCAGATATTTAAAAAATAAAAACATTCTGCAAGATAACTCAGGGTCCCAGCCATTCAACTCCTAAGTATTTGCCTAAGAAAATGAAAGTATATGTCTATACAAAGACTTGCAGACAAATATCAATAGCAGTTTTATTTTAATAGTCTCAAACTAGAAACAACCCAAATATATACCAACAGGTGATCAGACAAACATAGTGTGGTATCTCCATACATCGGGATACTATTTAGCAATGAAAAGGATGAACTACTGGTATGGGCAACAACATGTTTGAATCTCAAAATAATTACGCTTAGTGAAAAAGTCAAATAAAAAAGCAGAGTATATACTGTGCGATTCTACTTAATTCTAAAATTCTGGAATATGCAAACTCATCTATAGTGATAGAAACTTAATTGGTGGCTATCTGGAAATGGGGACACAAGAAAGATTAGAAATGTATATAAGGAAAGTTTTGGAGATTTTGCATATGTTCATTATCTTGATTGTGGTGATGTTTCCATGGGTGTGTTCATATGTCAAAACTTAGCAAACTGTGCATGTTAAATATGTGTAGTTTATGAAATGTCAGTTATATCTCAAACTGTTGAAAATACATGTACATAAAATAACAATGTGCAATAACTTATAAGTAAAATAACATATGCAAGAAACACATAAACAAAAATACACATATTAAACACATTAGAAAGACTGATTTCCTAAAGCGAAGGAAAGGAGAATGGCAGTGAAGAACAGGGAAAAAAGAGAATGCGTGAATAAATAAATAAGTTTAACCATTACAAGAGTGGGACCTTATATGGTGGGGAAAGGGGAGTGGGAAAAAGAAAGAAATTTACTCGGCTACAATAACATTCCTTTTAGGGATACAAAGAGATAATAAATTCTCTAAGACTCCAAATACAGAATAGCAACAATAGAAGCTTTGGATTTTTAGTCATATGAACGAGGAAATATTTCAAAGGACCCTTTTCAGGTATCCCTGGAACAACTCAGAACTCCACCTACTCATTCACTTAACTATTTACTGAGTACCTACTACGTGCTAGGTCCTATTCATAAGACCAGTAATTTTTCCAATAGACACTCATCATCTCCCTAGTCCTACCTGCTGGGGCTTCCACCTTGGTTGCTGCTGTAGAAGAACCACTAGTAATTCCCCAAGGGCCTAAACTGGATTCTGCTTTCCCTCCTTCTTCAGCGTACTCCACAGTCCCAGTGCTCCTCTGCGTTGTTACTTGTGCCTGAAACACTCGTGCCTGAAGCTGTTTGAAGGCTTCATGAAATGCCATTTCCATTCGAATATCGTTGTTTTGAATTTCATAGTACAAGCCTGAAGGGAAAAAGATGTTGAAGCAAAATGGGACTATTTCCCACCTTAAATACTGGAGAATTGCAACATTTCACTTAAATTCCCCACATTTTTACCAAAGTTTAAAACTACATAATGAGTCATTAAAGAGTGGAAAGAAATAGGGAAAATCTTCTAATGAAAGAAAACACATTCATATCACAGGAAAATATCAAACCAAGTAAAGTCCAGGCTACAACATTAGTTGGTTCCAAGCAAGTAGCATCCTCGAAGAAAATTTCTGCCTGCTCATAGTTCTCCATCAGGACAGCCAGGATACCGCACAGCAACAAGCTGAGAAGAATCCACCAACATTATTAACAATGTGGTCTCATGTCACAGCCATGGAACCAAGACAATTTCATATAGAAGCTTATCTGCTCCTTCTCATTCCTTATCTCCCTTTCAACCATACCTGTGGATATGATTCTGGTTGAGGGAAAGAGCTTTCCGAAAACACTCCTGTGCTTTGATATTGTCTTCAGTTAGGAGGCAGAATGCACCATAGTCCAGCCAGTGCTCCAGGTTCCGGGGTTCACGGACCAACCTCTAACACATGAAACATCAAGAGGACCAAGGTTACTGTGACACTACGCCATGTTCTTTATGCACATAACATCACACAGTAAGCACTCCATAAAACTTTTAACTCTTTGAAACTAGAAACTATAATTTCTTTTTTTACCTACCACTGAATTCTAAATGCCTAGCACCATCACTTCTCTAGCTTATAGTATGTGGTCATTAAATACTTGCTGAAATAATGTAAAAATGAATCTTCAACTCATTGCATCCTCCTGTCAGTGTTCTGGTCATCATATGCTCATCCAATTACTTGGGAACCTAAAGATTCATTTCATGTTTCATTTTAGAGATTCACATATAATAATTTCTGTCATAGTCTTGAGAAGGCAAGTATAAGATTAGCCACAAATATGTAATAATAAAAGCAGCTCATAATAAGTGAAAACTATAAAACATTGCTGAAAAAAATTTTAAAAGACATAAACAAATGGAAATACTTTCCATGTTCACAGATGGGAAGACCTAAATTGTTAAGATATCAATACTGCTCAAAGCAATTTACAGATTCAATGCAATCTCTATCAAACTCCCAATGATGTTTTTTGCAGAAATATGAAAACTCACTCTAAAGTTCATATGGAATCTCAAGGGGCCCTGAATATCCAAGACAATCTTTAAAAAGAAGGCTAAAACTGGAAGACTCACACTTCCTGATTTTTAAACATATAAAGCTACAGTAATCAGTCTGACCCCAGGATAAAGACAGACATGTAGACAAAGGAAACAGAAGAGAGCCCAGAAATAAATCCTAGCATATATGGTCAAATGACTTTTGACAAAGGTGCTAAGACCATTCAATAGGGAAAGGACAGTCTTTTAAACAAAAAGTGCTAAGTAAACTGAACATTCACATGCAAAAGAATGAAGTTGGACCTTTACCTAACATCATATACAAAAAATAACTCAAATGGATCAAAGACCTAAATATAAGGCCTAAAATTACAAAACTCTGAGAAGAAAACATAGCGCAATAGCTTCACAGCATTGGATTTGACAATGATTTCTTGGTTATGATACCAAAGGCACAGCCAATAAAATAAAAATAGACAAATTGGACTTTATCAAGATTAAAACCTTTTGTACATCGGAAGAAACTATCAACAGAATTAAAAGATAATTCACAGAATGGGAGAACTAGATTTGATGTGGATGTCAGTCAAGTCTTTTCTGAGGGTATGCTGGCATCTATCACCTTGGTAGGAGGTAGGGTTGGAGATGCAGAGGATAGAGGCGGCAACAGATGTGAGGCAGGACTTCCTCTCTGATCATTGGCCATCACTGCTCTGTCAGGGACGGCAGGGATTAGGGGGTGTCTAATTACAAGTCGCTGGAGCATAAGCCTTGAGTGTTGGCCTTGGGCTGGCTATGTTCCCATTCACCATGTGTTTTTCCCTCTCCTTGCACCAGGACCTTTGTACCACAGGAGCAGAGTGCTGAAGCAAGTAGAGCCCGTGTGCGTACTGAGGTCCAACATACTAAATATGTAGGTGTCAGCAGCTCTTCCCAGATGCAGCTTGCAGTTGAGTCATGGCCACCCCAGATCCAATGCTGCACTGTGGCACAGTCAGAGTGGGGCTGGAGCATTCAGTTGCCCTGGACTGGGGTGCATGGTGAAGCAGTCATGGAAAACCCTGCCACTAGGGCAGACCTCTCTCAGTCCTGCCTTGGGGCCAACCAGCATGCTCGCACTTCTCACAAGAGGAGTCCAGGCTTCCCCACCCTTCCTATCTGCCCAGTGATCCTCCAAACAGCCAAGGTGCTGGCCTCCTCCACATAGGGACTGGGCTGCCCAGTCTTTGGTTCAACCCGTTCCCAGGGTATAGGCCAGTGCAGTCTCCCTTTTCCCCTGGGTCCCCTCCCAGGGGCACAGGTCCCAACCTGATCACTTCCCCTCCCTTTCTACTCGATTATGTGTATATCTTTCTTTCAGCCTATGTTGTACAGGAGTCCTTCTGCCAGTTTTCAGTTATAGTTTTCAGTGAGAATTGTTCCACATTTAAATGTATTTTTAATGTGTTCATGGTGGGGAGGTGAACTCCACGTCCTCTTACTCTGCCGTCTCATTGGACCATTTTTTGCATATGGATGACCAAAAGTTCTAATATAATTTTTTGAAAAGACTATTCTTCCTGCATTGAATTTATTTTATAATTTTTGTCAAAAATATAATGGCCTTATTTGTGTGAACCTATTTTTGGACTGTTTTATTGAGCTATGTGTCTATCCTTTCATTAATAAGGTTGGATTTTAAACAATCAAAAACTACTATTTATTATACCCATATTGTACAAATAGCTGTAACAACAACTACTGGGAAGGCGTTTAATTACCTCTTCATAGTACACTGTTGCCATTTCAAAGTTCTCATTGACTTCTGCTTCAAATGCAAAGAGTCGAAGCTGTTCACTGCTGATGTAAATGGTTGAAGTAGTGCCTTGAACATCATCTGGCATGGTCTGGTCAGTATCAAGATGCTAGGCAGACAAAATGAATCAATTGGAAGTAGAGAAGTTTTATAAGAATAAATCAGAAGCGAGACTCTAGTCATGATATCTAAAATGATAGTGAGGTTTCTTATGGTCTTGCCAATACAGTAAGAGAGTGAGAGTGAACCAAGAGAGAAATATCAAGGTTGAAAAAGAAGCTCAGGTATCTGACTACCAACAGTCTGAGCCCATGGAAGTGAATAAAAATTATTTAGGGTAGAACTGCTCCCCTCAAACCTCAAGACAGTCAGAATCCCTAAAATATTTCTAACCTCAAATAGCTTCTTTCATTTTCTCTAGTGTACAGGCAAATATCATTTTTAGGTGCCATGACTTCGAAAAGTTTGGCAATAACTAGCTAGAGTCTTCAAATATCAAGAGAACACAAGACTAGGGTAAATCTTTGGAAGCTACATCTATTCTTTCAAGAAAAGAAAAGAAAAAAAATGTGTCCTTGTAGTGAGAACTCAGGATTTACTCTCTTAACGGCTTTCGTATATATCAAACAGCAGTGTTAACTAAAGTCTTCACACTGTACATTACATCCCTAGCACTTATTATCTTGTAAATGGAAATTTGCATGTTTTGACCATTTTCTCCAATCTCTCCTTCCTCAACCCCAGATTTTGTTTTTCTTGAACTCCTTGGAGTATTTGACAATGTTGACCACTTTTTCTTCTTAAAATTTTCTTCTCTTAGATTTTGAGATAGCACTGACTTCTGGGTTTTTGCCTTTTCAACAACTCACTTATCTCCTTAATTCTTCTCATCCATTCCTTACTATTGGTGTTTCCTAGGGTTTCTCCGCCAGCTTGTTTCTTTCTCTACTCATATTTTTCTTGGCAGCTTCATCCATGGCCACAGTTTGACTAGCATCTATATACTCATGGTTCCCCAAATCTCATCTCTCTATCTTGGATCTCACTTGAGCAAAACCCCACTAAGAGCCAATGTTCAACACTGAATTCAACATCACCTGCCTTCCACCAGATTTCTTCATGTTGTATTTCTTGTCCTAGTCAATGGTATTACCAGCTACCCAGTAGGGCATTAAAGTTAAGCATCTGTTCCTCTTCTGTATGTAATAACCAGCTAAAATAATCAGCTTCACCACCTCTAACCCATCCTATATAATGCTATCCAAGGTTTGTTTTTTTTTGGTAAAATGTAAATCTAACAATACTATTTCCTAGCACATAATTCAACTTAATTGCATTCAACTTCTAAGAATGGACAAAGTCAAAACTTCTTGGTGTTACATACAAGGCCTCCCTGCCTACTCCCCACTGCCCACTAAGAACTGATTCCTGGCTTCATCATCTATTTCTCTGTCCCTCAACCACTTCAACCTGTGCTATATGCCATATTCTTCCAAGTTCCAAGACTTTGTGATGTTCTCTATGATTCAAATGCTCTGAAACATTTACCTGGAGAGCTTCCTTTTAGCCTTCAAGGCCCAGCTCAAGTCACAGGTTCTCTGTGAATCCTTTCCTAAAAGATCTCAGGGTGAATTTGCTCACTTTTTCTTTAGGCATTCCCTAATCTGCTCTACCATGGACACATCTCTGTCACAGCACTTACCTCACTCTACTTTAGTTACCTGTATTTTGTGCCTGTCTCCTCTACTAGACAGGGGATCCTTGGAGACTTAAGGCAACATTAGCTTATGCTCATGCTCATTTCTCAATTCCTTTCCAAATCAAATCATTCAAATCATCTCTGCCAGATTGTTCTCTTAACCCTAGGACACTGGACACTCCTCTCCTCCCTCTTTCAGGAAAGCTAAACAGGTGAAAGAAAAAGTGATGGTGGCAAAGAAGAAAAAAGCAGTGAAGGAAAGAACAGATAGAATAGAGGCTATAAGGACACAGAGCTGGTTAGACACTACCAAGGAGGCAAATAAGATTTTGATTTGTCATTGTTTTCAAACAAATCACAATGGCATACATTAAAAAATGAACAAATGAAGGCAAGATAAAAGTTGTGCAAATATAAACAGACAAGTGGGAAGAGAGCAGATTATCAGTCAATTAGAGAAGGAATGTTTGAAGTGTCATTGTCATTCAGGCATAATATCTGAAAACTCATAGTTTTTCTTTATCAATCTTGAAGAAAAAGTTGAGAATTGCAGACATTCACAGAATAAATTGAACGATAATTTCTGTTTCACAATTTACATAGCTGATTTTATTTTTATCCCTCAATTTTATGTCAGTTATAAATTTTTCTAGGAAGTTGAAAGAAGATACTCCTTTTTTTTCCCCAAAAAATAGCCTTATAGTTTAGGCAGTTTCTTATTCATCTTGGTGTTTCCAGTGCCTAGCATGGAGCAGACACCTCAATAAATGTTTGTGGAATTAAAGAAGAAAAGAAGAAAAAAAGGAAGGAATCATTCAGAGGAGACCCTGAGGACCTACCGAGAAAAAGAAGGGTTCTTAGTTCTTGAGCACCTACCTGATTTAAGGCCACATGCATCTGATCTACCAAGAACACATAGAGCTCACTAATAAATGTTTGCAGTTCTTCTTGGCTTTCAAATGATGTTGTCTTCAGGTACTTCTCTCTCACAATCTTTACCACAGCATGCTGCAAGAAACACAGGCCACGATCTGATAACACAGTCCAGCACGATGTTAATAGCACAGACCTCCCCTGAGCTTCTGATCTAAGGCTCATCAGAACTCCAGAAGGTAATTAGTTTCCCTTGGTGACTGCTAGACTGTTGGCTCTCTGATTTTCCCCTGGTCAGCATACTCCACATAGCTTCCTTTCTTGACATCACCATCATCACTAATATGGTCAATACAGTACTCAGACTGTGTGAAGAGTCATAAAGCTAAAGAAAATCCTAGCATTATGTTTATGTACTACGTTTCTCATGGTTGCCACTGATTCAACAGAGAAAAGGAGAAAAGCATGATTTTAGAATCTGGAGAATGGAATCCTGTTCAAATCCTGCCACTGTCCAACCTCACAAATTATTTTACACTTGGTACTTCAATTTTCTCATTTGTTAAACAGATATGTACTTCTGGTAATACTATCCTATTTCAGAAGATGATTGAGAAGCCAGAGAAATAACAGGTGGTGAATCTTAAAATGCGGTACAAATAACATTTTGCTATAGCCAGAAAAGCTTCTTTTTTTCTCCCTAAGTAAACATTATTGCCAGGTTTTGTACTTAAATACTTTCCATGCATTATCTTATTTAATTCTCATAATGACCCCATGTAATAATATCAATATCATTTCTCATCATTAGGCAAAGAAATTGAGGCTCAGAGAGATAGATTCACTTGACCAAGGTTATCCAGTTAGTAACGGGAAAACCAGGAATCAAACTGAGGTGTGACTTTGCCACGTGAGAAAAGCCTCTTGCCTCCATGAGCATCAATTATTTTTCACTTTATTACTTCCATGTGCTTTCTTTGTATCTGTTTAGTACAGTACAGGGCACATAGTAAATGTGCACAGAGAGGAAGTGCATTGTAGCAGATAAGAACATGAGTCTGGAGCCAGACCACCCAAATTTGCATCCCGTCTTTGACCTTTACTAACTCTATGATCTTGAGCAAATTATTTAACTAACTAATGTTGCATTTCTCCATCTGTAAAATGGGAGTATCTACTTCATAGGGTTGTTGTGACGATTAAATTGGTAAAATGTGTAACATTTACAAGTTTGGTATACAGCAAACACTCAGTAAATGTTACTATTATTATTCAAGATATTATTATTAAGTAAGTATTTCCCAAATCTTAGTGATTCTATGGACTAAGAAAAGGTTTGTAATAGAAGACAGAGATAATTAGTCATGGAATCAGTGTCAGGTTCAGAGTTTCTGCCTGCTAGTGCAACATGAAATCTGGACCAAAATCTGGCCCAGCTTCAAGTGAAGAATAAGTTTCTTAAAAGCTCACACTCAGTATAAATACCGAACAATTCCATTATATATATTCACATATGACTGAAGCATTGTGCTGTATACCAGAAGTTGACACAACATTGTAAACTGACCATACTTAATAAAATATTTATTTATTTATTTAATTAAAATGCAAAAAAAAAAAAAAATACTGAACCATTCCAAGGCTCTGCAGGAGTGGAGCTTCTCCAGACACTGTCATAGAAAACGTAGCCCTTTGAATCAACAGCAAGAATGGTGGAGCATAGCTGAACACAACCAAAGAAAAAATGATAACTAGATATGTAGAGAAGATGTTTCATTAAAAACTCATGTGTTAGAGCAGGCAGATAGCTAGATATGAGCAGAGAAAGGGAAATGCAGGCCAAACGGCAGAAATTGGACAGAAAGGAGAGACAGGCCCAACTCAAGAAACCATACATCATGTAAGCACCAGGGGTCCCTGGGCAGAGAAAGAAAAGCAGGAACTTCTGGGCTGATAAGTGGTCACAACTTTGGGGGTGATAAGTGGCCTGGAGGCCAACAAAGAAAGGTTGGGAAAGGCAGGAATCTCCAGTGTCTGAATGTAACCTTTTACTCATTATGCCCTCATCTCAATAAAATTAGCCTTGCAGATTAGAAGTACCCATCATGCACCAACGTCATGACACTTCTGGTCCAGACTAAATAAGGATAAGAATCCCTCTTCCCTTTGGGAAGGTGGAGTTGGGATGAAAATCAGGGAATATGACCCCAGACCCTTCCCTCCCTAGTGAATATTCTGCCCATTTTTACACCCTATGTAACCAACCTGCCAAGAAAACTCAGGCAGCCACTCACCTGAGCCTGCCAGCTCTCCCCTTGAGAGGGTAGTATCCATCCTTTAATAAATTCTCACTTTACTTTTTTACTACGTCTTGTCTCTGAATTCTTTCTGGGATGGGACAAGAACCTGGAACACCGGTTATATCCACCAGCAATACATGGACTAATTAAATAAACTAGTATTTACCTTGAGTTGTTCTTTGAAAGCAAAATATTTCCCAGAACAATTAAGTTCATAGTTGAGCTGGCACTTCTGCTCCTCCAGGGTTTCACTATCCATATCACTCCCCAGTTTGGCTACCTGTTTTCCAAACATCCTGTGATACTCATCCAGAATGGCTCTAGAAATGTTCTTGATCTGCATGTGGTAGTCACTCACTGCCTAGGAAAATATAAAATGGCTGGTAAAGAGACTTCAAAGAGGTCAAGATCTGGATGGAAGTCTGAAACTGGTTTGGGTTTTACATTCAATAATACTTTAGGTATAAATTGCCCTTTTCTTCCCAGCTCAAAGACTATCAGCCAAAGATTAAACACTGTATGCCGTTGGTCACAAATAGAAGCAGGAAGGAAAACCTGTGAAGCTCTAATTTCTCACCTCTTCTGGAAAACATACTGAAAAGACCATGCCTTATTTTCAAATTGGTGCACTCAACATCTTATTATTTAAGAGTTTCACCTTGGCTTTGGCACTTGCCTTTTGAGCTCCTCCTGTCCGATGGGTAAGAGGTGGCCTCGGAGGAATCATTTCCTTGACCCTGTATCAAAAAAGAAAAACAAAAAACCCCACAAAAAATTTTATTATATGGAGATTTATGCAAAAAAAAAAGATAAGTGGTTGCTGAGGGCTGGGGTGCAGGGTGTTGGTTGGGGACTGGCCTGAGGGTTGGGAGGAAATGTAAAGTGACTGCTAATGCCTATGGTTTTCTTTTAGGGGTACTAAAAATGTTATAAAGTTGACTACGGTGATGGCTGTTTAACTCTGTGAGTACACTAAAAGCCATTGAATTGTATTATTTAAATGGGTGAAGGTAAATTTAGTTATGTAAATTATATCTCAATAAAGCTGTTATTTTTTCAAATTAAAAATAAACTGAAGGATGGAGTGGTAGATGCAGGGATGCCAGGTGAGAGACTGCTATGGTTCTGACCAGAATTGTGAGAATTAGATAATACGGATCTGGAGTTCAGGAGAGAGGTTCAGTCTTGATATATAAATTTGGGAGCCATCAGCATATAGTTGTTATTTAGAGACATGAAACTGGAAAGAAACCAAGGGAGTGAGTGTAGAATGAAAAGAAATCCAAGATCTGAGCTCTGAGGGACTCCAACATTTAGAGGCCAGAGAGATAAAGAAGGCCAGTGAGGGAGAAATAAAATCAGGAGAGTATTGTGTCCTGAAAGTCAGGTAAATAACGTGTTTCAAGGAAGATTGAGTAGTTAAACACTAATCACTGGTCACAATGACCCTGAGAACAAACCATTGGATTTAATAATGTGGTGGTCACTAATGGTCTTGCTAAGAATATTTATCCAAAGAGAAGTTACTGGAAGTGAATTATTAGATTAAATAATGCATGCATTTGTATTTTAATAGCTTTTACCAAATTGTCCTCTGCAGGAGTTCTATCAATTTATACTCTTAATAGTTTGTATCAGAGGACCTGTTTCCAAATATTCTCATCAACAACATGAGTTATCAAGCCTTTTTGATCATCCACAATTTAAAAAAAAACAAGGCATTTCAGGGTAGTTTTAATTTGCATTACTTTTATTATGAAATTAGTTGAGCTTCTTCTCATGTTTAAGAATATTATTACACACTGACATAGATTCAGCAGTCTGGTACACACATGCCTCAGCCAGGAACCAAAGGCAAATAATCTTTATGAATATTGTGTCCAACTTTCTCTCACTGACATTCTAATTAGCCTTTGCTCTATAATACTGTCACATGAGCTAGCTTAGAGGAGAAATCTGCTTTCCACCTCCCTACAGCCAAAGAAAAAACTTATAGCTAATAACCTTTCTCATATAAAGAGTTCAATAATATTCTAAAGTTGATACACAGCATAATTTGAGAAGTACTATATATAGTTAAGTCAAATTGATTTTCAAAAAGTCAGAGGAGATGTTAAAAAATCATAAATTTTAAGAAAAACTCATTGATACAGATAATAGATTGATGGTTGTTAGAGGCAGGGTTGGGGAACAGGAGAAATGGGTGAAGGGGGTCAAATGGTACAAACTTCCAGTTATAAAATAAATAAATGGGGATGTAATATACAACATGGTGACTATAGTTATAACACTCTTTTATGTTTGAAAATTAAGAGAGCAGATCTTAAAAGCTCACATTATTAGGAAAAAATGTATCACTATGTATGACCACAGATGTTAACTAGACTTATTGTGGTGATCATTTCACAACATACACAAATACTGAACCATTATGTTGTACACCTGAAACTAATATAACAGTATATGTCAAATATAATTCAATTTTTAAAAATCATAAGAATTTGCTTCTGTATTTGCTGTAAAACTTTCATTAACAATGCTGTTATTCTGTCACTCAGAATTCCCTATGTAGGAGCTTGAATGAGAAATTTGTTCTAGAATTTAATGCCAGGAAAAAAATACGGTCTCTTCTGGGACTAGTGTGCATCTACCTTTATGATTAGAATTGCATAACTTAAAGGGCTTCCCTTTTTGTTAGATAGCTCAGACTTGATGTCTATTCATGAAAGCCCTATTTAATACTTTCTTCCTTTTTGTTTCCATGACTTGTGTTTTTAACTTTCTATTTCTAGATTATCAACCTTATTTTATATATATAATTTATGGTAAATATTTTCAATTTATTTTTGAAGGGGCTAAATGTAAAGTTTAAAAAAGTTTAAGGACTCTCTGGTATAAAAGATGAATGTGCCATTGACAGCAGGTAATTTTCAAAAGGAGATTTCCAAATGACTAACAAATATGTGAAAAAATGTTTAAGCTCACAAAAACATGTACAATGTGCATTAAGGTAAGATAATTTCTTTCCCTGTAAAAATAAAAAATTATTGTGTTAGTGAATGTATGAGGAAACAGCAGTCTCATACATCACTGGTGGAACTGCAAACTTTTGGGAAGGCAATTGGATGATATTTGCCAAAAGCCTTAAAATTATCTGTAGTAAATAGTTTCCAAGATGAAGTTATCATTTGCTTTCATCCTTCATTGAGTGTGGTGCTCCTCATGAGGTCTAGATGTCAGCAAAATGACAGATTAGATAACTCCAAACTCCCATCCCTCCACAAAAGCTTTGAAAAAATAACCGGAAACTGTCAGAACCAACTTTGTCAGAAGTCTGGAAGACAGTCAAAGGTTTACAACAACCAAGCAAATACTGAATCAAGAAAAAGGCAAACAAAAAATAGTAGGAAAGCCTTGTGGCATTTTCAGTTGACCCTACCTCACCTCAGTGGCAGTCTTACAGATGGCTACCTGTATTTCAAGTGTGGTACACTGACCCCTGATTCTGGAGGAGCAGAACAGACCTTATTCTCAAGTTACTGGGTTTGTTCTAACCTGTCTGGGGCTACCCAAAGGAATGAATAGAATAACCAGACATAAGATCAACAAGGTGATAAGGGAGTTAAACAACAGTATAAATCAATTAGGCCTAACAAACATATACAGAACACTACCCAACATTCTTCTCACAGAGTACACATTCTTCTCTAGTACACATGGCACATTCTGAAGGATAGGCAATATATTAGGCCACAAAACAAATCTCAGTAAATTGGAAAAAACTGAAATCATACAAAGTATATTTTCTAATCACAATAGAATGAAACAAGAAACCAATAACTGGAAGGAAATCAGAAAATACACAAATATGTGTAAATTAAGCAACTCACTTTTAAACAACCAATATGTCAAAGAAGAAACCCAAGAGAATGAGAAAATACCTTGAGATTAATAAAAACAAAATACAACATATCAAAACTTATGGGATGCAGTGAAAAAAGGGCTAAAGGAAAATTTATAGATCTAAATGCATACAATAAAAAGATGAAAATAATCAATAATCTAACTGTAACCTTAAAGAACTAGAAAAGAAGAGCATATGAAACCAATAATGATTAGAGTGGTGATAAATAAAACAGAGAAAAAAATAAAGTTAACAAAACCCAAAAGCTAGTCCCTTGAAAAGATCAGTAAAACTGGTATATTTTTAGGTAGATGAACTAAGAAAAAAGAACAAAGAATCAAATTACTAAAATCAGAAATGAAAATGGAGACATTACTCCCCACTTTACATAGACAAAAAGGATAATAAGAATATGAAAACGGATATATGTATGTATATTTATGACTGGGACATAATGCTGTACACCAGAAATTGACACATCATAATTGACTATATTTCAATTTAAAAGAAAAGGATAATATGAGAATACTATGAATAATTATACATCAACAAATTGGATAAACTAGATGAAATAGACAACTTCCTAGAGACACAATCAAAGCACTGATACAATATAAAAAGTTTTTTAAATTATATACATTTATATGTGACAAGGGTATGTGTGTGTGTGTGTGTGTGTGTGTGTGTGTGTGTGTGTGTGTGTGTGTGTGTGTAATACAGAGACTTCATCATAGCTCCAGAAGGATAAATACTAAGATGTCAAAAGTGGTTATTCCTGGGTGAGTAATAACCCAGTAAAAACCCAGAAATAAATAAAGCTGGGTGTTTTTAGATACTTTCTTGCTGATTTTAAATTTCTCAAATGTTTTTTAATTGGCATATACTGTTTTATAACAAGAAAACAAATAAAAGAAACCTCATCTAAAAAAAAAAACCCAGAAAACTGTCTGTTGCTTAGCCCAGGAAAAATTACATTTATGTGGACAAAACAACTTCCTTTTATTTATGCCAAAATTGTTTTGCAAAACAAGTATGAGAACCATTGCTACATACCTTCTGGCTAGCTCCTCTGGCATGCGCTTCGGAACCAAGGCTTTGTCCAGCTGAATCTCCAACACAATGTATGTCCCTGCTTCTACATATTGCTGTAAACACATGTTTCTGTAATGTATTATTTCCACAAAGACAGATACTTATGAAAATTTTTAGTAACATAAGATAATGCTCATAATGTAAGTGAGAAAACTGCATATACAACTACATATATAGTGTGACTGTGACAAACTATTTTTTACATAGAAAAATAACTGGAAAGAAAAATAGCAACAGTGATTATTTCTTATAGAAAAAAAGGTTTTCAATTTTATTCTTAGGAACTTCTATCCCAGATGAAGCCTTGTTTAATTTATCTGATACTGTTCTTGGAACTATTTCAAATGAATGACATTCTTTCTTCCACCAAATCTGTTTCGTGAGTCTTGAAGAAACAGTTTTCTCATAACCTTCTGACATTCCCACCCACACCCTCATAAGCACCATCTATCAACTTCAAACTGATGGATATTTCTACCTAGATTTTTGCAAACAGCATCCTAAATACATGTCCAAAACTGAACTTATCATTTCTCCTGTATAAACTTCAATTTTGACTTTTCTCTTAATGATTTTATCATCCTTCCAGAAAGTGAGGCTTGAAACCTGAGTTATGTTTAACTTTTCTTCCTCAACACTCCAAAGCTTTCCAATTCTACATTTTGCCTCTGCAGGTTTCTGACTTTCTTGACTACAACCTCTTCCCTAAATTAAACTGTCATCAACACTTATCTGTACTGTAAGAAAAACCTATAAACTGATGTCTGAAGCCCCTATCACAATTTCAATCTCTCTTTTCCACATCCTAGCAAGAGAACTGCCCTGAAACACTCATGAAATCTTACTTCTATGTGACAAAAACCTTTAATGTGAGTCTCCAAGATAAGGCTTAAGAGTCCCTCATCACCTATAGAATGAAGCCCAAACTTTGTAGCAAGCCTTTCAAAGTCTACAACCCAACTCAGCCTCTCTCTTCTCATCTCCTTCTAGAACCATTCTTTTCATTTCTATACCACACACTGAATTAACTGATGTACCTTGAATTTATTACCTTCTTTGTGCCTTGACTCAAGCTATTCTCTGGCCCTGAAATTCCTCTCCTTCCATCTTCATCTGACAAAAGAGTTCTCTTTCACACCTTAGCTCTTCCTGAAGCCTTCTGAGACTGCCCCACCTGACTGCTCTGAGCCCACACAGCACCTTCATTTGTACTTCCACTACAGCATTCATCAAGATCCTGTATTACAGTTAGTTATGTACCAGTCTGCTTTGCCCACCAGAGTGCTGAGTGTCCTGAGGACAAATGAATAAATGCTGCAGATGATACATCTTTGCATCCCTCATAATGCTTAATATAGTACAAACAATAAAAAATACATATTTTTAAAGCTAGAAAGGACCTTAAAGTTAACCTGGTACCCACTCCTTTTAGAGAGTCTCAACAAGATGAAATTTACCAAAAGTTATAAACTATCATGGCAAATATGGAATGGTTATTCAGATAATGAACATTTTCCTGAGCATTTTCCACTATTCCATACTGTATTGCTCAGTAAAGGACTGATGAATTTAAACTTAATTTTAAAACTCTTTATGCATACTTACCTGTCCTTCTGGATTGTTGCATAGAGAGGGTTCAATTTCCAAAGGAGTATCTGAGCTCTGAGATTTTATGCTAGATGCTTGCTGAAAGAAAATGAACACACTTCAAACAGTGAATTCTTACATGGTCTTCACAATTGCAGGAGCAAGGATCATTATGTTGCATCAAAATGCAAACTAAATTGAGGAAATCCACCAGATTGAGAAATCAGTGCAAGCCCCTGGAATGGAACAAAACCTACAAAATCATCACTTTCCAAAAAACTTACCACATCTCCAGGCCTAGACTTTCCTTCCATATCCTTTTCTTTGACTGCTTTATCTTCTTTCAGGTTCTTAGAAGCAACTTGTTTGGGCAGTGGAGAATTAATTCCTCCTATTTTATTATTCTGAATCAAATGATGGCCAGTATCCCGGAACAAGCTAAGTAAACACTTGGTCTGAAAAGAAACAAACAAACAAAAAATGCAATGCATCACAGACAAATGAGACAAACTCTAAAGAAACTTATATTATTCTTTAACATCATTTAGTTTTCTGGATAACTTCAGTATCATAGAAGTAGAAATAGAAGAAGTAAAAAGCTTCATTGCTTTACCATACTTGCTGAACAGGTGAAACTATCACAGAAAATTATCTACCTACTCTTATTTGTTAAATTAGCAAGAGAATTTTCAACCTGACTTGATTTGGTGTCTCATAAATTTTACCAGAAAGCTTTTAAACTTTAACACATAATTTCAAATTAACTTTAAGTGGTAGAATTTATTTCTGTACAAGAAATATTATCTGCTTAATTACTACTGGTCTATCAATTATAATTGGAAGAACAGTGCAAGTTTAAATTTCGAAGGAAACTTGTATGGGGGAAAATTCAAACTACAGATAAATGACTGGAAAATAAGCTTAAAATAATTTTTAAATTTTACAGCATGCATGAATCTAAATATGACTTATGCTGAGTGAAAGAACAAGACCCCCCCCAAAAAAAAAACAAGAGAGAGAGAAGGAATGGACAGAAGTGGGAGAGAAGAAAAACAGATGATGATAATGGATATTTTCACTATCTTGATTGTGGTGATAGTTTCACAGATATAAACCTACATCAAAAGTTTAAAATTGTACATTTTAAATATATGCAGTTATTATATGTTAGTTATATCTCAGTAAACCTTCTAAAAGATAGCCCAACTCTATTAAAAAATTGTAAATACTAAATATCACTCACAATGCTACTACTTCTACCAAAATTCCTGTATTTCATATATTCTAAGATGCAATATTTTTCAAATATTAACATCTCTGGAAATGAGAACATTTCATATAAGTGGTATTGTACAATACACTGTCACTGTGTCTGCCTTCTTTCACTTAGCATAATGTTTTTGAGGTTTATCCACATTGTAGCATGTATCAATCATTCATTCTTTTTTTAAACAGTTTTATTGAGATATAACTAATATTCCTTATAATTCACCATTTAAAATGTAGTCAAAATTCAATAACTTTGATATATTACATTAATTTCTTTTCATTGACTATTTAGCATATCTTCCCTAGTATAGACATGCCACAATTTGTTCACTGATTCACTGGTTGTGGGCATCTGGACTGTTGTGAGTCTTTAGCAATGAGGAGTAATGCTGCTATCTACATTCACATACACATCTTTGTGTAAGTACAGATTTTCATTTCTCTTGGGTAGGTTCCTAGGAATGATTTGCTCAGTTGTATGGTAAGCTTATGTTTAACATGGATTTTCTACATGGTTGTTCTGTAAGTATTGACAGTAGAATACTGAAATTTCTTAAAGTTACTATCAAATTGTCTATTATGCCTTTCACCTTTCTTGGGATTGGCTTCAAGGATCATGAGGTTCTGCTGTTAAGTGTATATACATTTATAGTTTATACATAATAATTTATAATTTATAAATCTTATCTTCCTGGTTAATCGACCTTTTAATCATTACGACATGCAACTCTACGTCTTTAGTAATATTTCTCATCTTGAACTCTATTTTGTCTGATATAAATATACCCATTCTGCTCTGTTATGTTTTCCACATGCATAGTATATCTTTTCCATTCTTTTACTTCACCTTATGTGTGTCTGAATCAAAATGTATCTGTTGCGGACAGCATATCATGAATCTTGAATTTTTTTTACTGTAGTATAATTGATTTACAATACTGTCAGTTTCAGGTGTACAGAAAAGTGATTCAGATATATATTTTTTTCAGATTATTTACCATTATAGGTTATTCTAAGATACTGAATATAATTCCTTGTGTTCTATAGTCTATCCTTGCTGCTTATCTATTTTACATACAGTAGTTTGTATCTATTAATCCCATACTTCTAATTTATCCCTCCTCCCACTTCCTTTCCCCTTTCGTAATCATAAGTTTGTTTTCTATGTCAGAGTCTGTTTCTGTTTTGTATATAGATTCATTTGTATTATTTTTTAGATTCCACATATAAGTGGTATCATATAACATTTGTCTTTTTCGAATCGATTTTTCTGAATCCAATCTCATAATCTCTGTCCCTTCATTGGGGTGTTTAGACTACTCACATATAACGCTATTGTTGAAATATTTATATTTATATTTGCCTTTTTGGTATTTGTTTTTTATATATCTTCTGTCTTTTTTGTTCCTCTGTTACTCCTTTAAATGCCTTCTTTTAATGTTAAATAAATATATGTACTTGTGAGTATGTGTATGGCATATGTACACATACACTTTTCTTAGTGGTTGCTTTAGGGATTACAATATGCATCCAAACTAACCATAATCTATTTTACATTGATCCTAACTTAATTCTGGTAAAATGTGGAAACTATACTACACTATAGCTCCATTCTATCCTCCCTCCTACGGTACTATTATCATATAAATTAGATCTGTGTATGTTACAAACCAAATAATATAATTAATGCTTTATACAATCAAGTCTTTCAAAGAAGTTAAGAGCAAAAATAAGAAAAAATATATTTCTAAAATCTTTTATACTAACTTACATTTAAACATTTCTAGTGCAGTTCATTTCTTCTTGTGGATTTAATATACAATTTGGTTTAATATCCTTTCAAGCTGAAGGACATCCTTTAGTAATTCTGGCAAGATAGGTTTGTTAACAACAGATTCTTTCAATACTTATTTATCTACAGATGTCTTTATCTCGCCTTCATTTTTAGTTGACAGCTTTTTCCTTCAGCACTTTGAATCTGTTATTCCACTGCCTTCTGGATTCCACTGTTTCAGATGAAAAATCAGTTGTTAACCATGTTGGTGCTCCTCTGTAAGTGATGAGTTGTTTTTCTCCTGTTGAATTCATGATTTTCTCTTTTTCTTTCAATAGGTCACTGTAATGTATATTGTAGATCTCCACAGGCTTATCCTACCTGGAATTCTATGAACTTCTTGGATATGTAGATTAACATTTTCATCAAACAGGGGATGTTTTTAGACATTGTTTTTTCATATATCATTCCTGCCTCTTTCTCTTTTCTCCTAGGACTTGCCTTACAATATGCTGGTTGCTCTCCACTGAGATCTCCATTTCAACCAACAACATTGTTGGGCATGGGTCCTTCACCCATTGCTTTAAATTATGTGAGCCGTCTCTGTGGCAGCAAAGTTGCTGGTCCTCTCAACCCATCCTGCCCTAGAAGAATTATTGCACTGATTAAGCTAAAATAGAGCAGGGGGAGAAGGGAGGTAGTTTGAGAACAGACCTAGGCAACAATGCCTCAAATTCCACAGTTTTTCGTGCATTACTGCTTCTCAGTTTTTTGATGCCTTTGGTCAATTTCCAGAGCACTGAAATGGCATTTTGTCAATTTGTCTAGCTTTACAGTTGCTTTCACGGGGAGAAAATTTGATAACCTCCTCACTCAGACATAGCCAGAAATATTTTTTCCTCAATATTTTTCATATATTTTAAAAATTATGATTATATTTTTTAAAAAGTTATGATCATACTGACTATAGTTTTATATCCTAATTTTTCATTTAACAGTCTGTCACATGCATCCTCTCATATTTTTTTAATTTTCATAAGGATAATTTTTAATGTATGTACAACAGTCTCCTATTACGTGGGTATAATAAAATAGGTAAAAATGTCTGTGTGCCAACTACATCTCTACTGCATTTACATATTTTATCTCATTTAATATGTAAAACAATTCTAGGAGACAAGCATTGTCTCCATTTAATGAAGAATAAAGTTGAGAGAAATTTAGTCACTTGCCCAAAGTCAGTAAATGGCAGCTCCAAAATTCAACGCAGAAGCCCTTGGATGTCAAAACCCATAATCTTTTGATTATGAATGTACTGTTTCCTGGAGGGGAGACTATAGCTCAGTGGTAGAGTGCATGTACAGTGCATGTTTAGCACACATGAGGTCCTGGGTTCGATCCCTAGTACCTCCATTGAAAAAATAAATAAACCTAATTACTTCTTGCCCTGACCTAAAAAAATTTTTTTAATTAAAAATAAATAAATAAAGTGAACAAGTCTGAGCATCTAGTTCCAAAACACTTTTTAAAATGATATACTGTTTCCCTTAGATTCACCAAAAATATCTTGATATGATTGATATGATGAAGGGCTTTATGTTTTAGGAATAGTAACATTTTTCTGATATGTATTCATTTTCCCCAATTTTTTAGTTACATTTTAATTTTGTTTATGATGGTTTCTTCTATATATAGAAGATTTTCATTTTTTGGTAATCAAAATCTTTCACATCTTTCATTGCTTTCAAATACAGGAAGTCTTCCTTTAATTCTTATCTTTAATTAATAGCCACTTCTATTTTTATAGCCTTCACATTCAACTTATTTTAATAAACTCACTTGGAATTTATTATGATCTATGCTATACATAAAATTTTTGCATTCTTTTTTCTATTTAACTATCTACAAAACATTGTTGTTTATCTTTTTTATTGGGTGCATATTCCATCATTTTTATTTACAAAAATTTACTAAGCATTACTCTATTATTAGACATTTAATCTTTATTTTAGTTTTGCTATTAATGATCCCCCAAAGTTTTCATGAATATGAGGGGTTTGATCTTATTAAATTACCCCGTTCAGATAAATCCCTATAAGTGTGATTTCTGATTCAAAGGATACTTATATAGATGTTCAAAAATC